AGAAGCTGAAAATTGCCTCTTGAGACGCGATAAGTGAAAAAGTCGAGTAAAGCATAAAATAGTAGTGTTGGGAGGGAAAAACTTAGTGTCGAATTTTTCTCCTAATGAATATTATAGCTATTGTAATATTTTAAATATATAGAAAAGGTGCAAGACAGCAATTAATTTAATTAAATCATCTTAATTATGATGTTTCCAATGTGCAATTATAGTGCACAACAATTCTTTTATGCAATTACACTTGCCAGTAATTAAGAAAAAAGGCATATGAACACCTCCAGGGCAATTTATTATTAATATTGTTATTAAAACAACTCGCGACAGGTCACATCTAATCACGAGACACCCCAAAAGATAACTCCATATTAGAGGGAGAAACTTTTTCCCCAATTGATTGGTTCTCGTACAATTTTCACCCATTTTACGGCATTTTACCGAAAGGGTTGTATTCTTTCGCTCTGAACTAATTTTCTAACTGCTGCTGAAGTTGTCTTCAAAAGACAGAACAAGCTCAATTATTTTTGGTGTTGAGGATGAGTGAAAAAGTTGGTGGAAAACTCTATAATTTCCCTCTAATTCCGTTTCTCTTTGAGGAAGTGTTTGAATTATTTAAATTGTCACCTTCCCTTTCTTTACATGTTTAATTATCACATCTTCAAAGGGTTGATATTTAATAGCGGTGAAATTACGAGGATTATTGATTTGAGCGACAATCTGGCATTTATTTAGAATAGTCACCATTTTTTGCTGCTGCGTTGCATAAGAAGCAGCATGAAAAATTCTAATTGCTCACAGCGAGACTGTTTGATATCTCAATCAGAGAATTTTCCATATAAAATACATTTCTCAGCGGGGAAAATCAACTCACTGACGTGTGTCAATTAATCAAGAAAATGCTAAGGTAATTTTGAATAATGTGCTTAGAAATGTACACAGACTAATTATTGCATTAATTCCGCTCTTACCGCCTCGTTTGGACTCTATCAAAAGGGCTCTTTGCAAATTCAACCCGGATACGCATTTGCAATTTACATGATTTTCCAAACGCATTCCTTTAATTGATGGAAATTCACAATGGCAATTAATTCATTAGTCAATACGCAATTGCATTTGTTCAACCTTTTTCTTCGTCCAAGTCACACTTGGAGAAGGAAAAAAGAGTGTTCAGGGGTTTTTCACATTTGAAGAGATCCATTAACGCATAATTTGAGTTTTTAACGAGAGTTGTTCCTGAGTTTGAAATTGATATTTACACGGGGCAAAAGATATGGTGAAAAATTGCTTCATTCCATGATGGCACAGTTCATTTATTGTGAAAATAACATTACAAGAGCATAATATACTTTTGCTTTTAGAGAGTATTATAGAAAGCCAAGAAACATGTAAATTAAATGAGAAGAAATTAATTCGTATTAACTTTGAGGAAAGATGTGTTGAGAAAAGTAAACAATGGCATAAAGTTTCCTGGAATTACCTTGACCATTAAATTCTTTGAGGCATTGTTTATGACGTAAATTGAATTTTTTCCTAATTGTCAAGATCTTTATTGCATATTTGTGCTTAATTATTGTTGATTTCTAAGTTGTTTAAATTTCTCAATGAGAGAGAAAGTTTAGGGATTACTCAAAAAAAATTGTGTTTTCCGAACACTTTCGTGGTGAAAATTGGGAAATTCTTCACAGCCAGAGTCCAGACTTCTGGCGTCATTCGCTGAAAGAATGACTTTTAAACGCCTTGCTGACTCCAATTGCTGCAAGAAGTGCTCTTTGTTGTTCTTCTCTAATGAATTGTAGGTGGTTTGAAGGCGACGAACCGCATAATCGACGACATGGCGTGACTTTTACACAGCGCCAGCGCTGTCGCTGCCACATCCCTTTCCCCGGCGGGGGCGGAGGGCAGCGCTGAGCAGGAGGAAAGTCTTCCGGATGAGGAAAAACGACTCCCCGCGTCTTGAGCACTCGACTTCACACAGAGCTCCAGCGGGCGCTTGGGAGTGAGGCTGGAAGTTTCTCAATTAGGATCAAGTTAATCAGTCAGCCGGGGTCACCCTGGGGGGTGGATCAATTAGCCTGAATTATGATCCTTTATTGGCGCATGTCGTGCTGAAAATCGCGAGTTTCCCCGGGTGACCGTCTGATGGGGCGACAAAAAGTCCAATCCCAGCGACGATGAGGGCATCGTTTAACCCATTAAAATAATAATCGTCATCTCCATCACGGGCAGAAGCACTGAGCAAAAAGTCGCTTCGCGGCGCAATTATGTGGTTTTGGACGAAAGCCCATTAAAAACGTCGGCTAATGACTTTTTCGTAAATTAAACACAAAAATTCTTATATGGGATGAGATGCTCTTCCGCACCTCTTCTAACCCCAGCCCAGAATCTCTGGTGCCTCAGACTCTCTCACAAGTGATGAGGAAAAAGTTGGCAAAAAAGATCGCGTCTTTTTTGGGATTTTGATTGTCCGTCTTGTTTTCTCCTATTCTCCCAGTCAACTGAAGGTGAATGAGGAAGGCAGTCGGTGAGAGAAAAGAAGTATCAAGGTGGTTTGAGGGTATTTGTTGTTGGGAAGAACTCAATGAGCTTTTGCACATTGTCTAGGTAAATTTCAATGGATGTCGAGAATCTTTCTAAGGGACTACACTAAGCATTTTGGATGGAACTGCAATTCGATCGAATTTGCCTTAACAGTGTTCGAATGGGTTGCCAGATTCTGATTAAACCCTTTTCTACTGAAACTATATTTATCCGGAAACAGTGCTTAAAAATTATTCTCTGAAAAAAATTGACAGAAAACCATCCATGTTTAACGCGTTAAGAAATGGCAAAGCTGAGAAATTTTAAATCTTTATTTCAACATCACAAGTGTAACTCCAAAACACCTTGACCGTCCATTTCGTACAACCTTCCACGGTCATCCATAAAATAATACCAGCCATGGAGTGGGTAAGACAAGAAATGGGAAAGAGATCAATTGTGATGATGTGATCAATTTTAATTTTTCGGCAACTTGCACTTTTCTTATTTCTTCTCTCGCCTCATCATCTCGGCCTTTTTTTCCTCCTGAACCATCGCGTCCCGCGCCAAACTTGGGGCCGCGGTGCAGAGTTATGGTGAGAGAAAATAAATTGGGCCGCTTCAGTGTTAATTTCCTCCGCCAGCTTCTTCACATCCGCGGCCCCTCCGCCGCGTCCCCAGCGGCCAGAAGCGGGAGCATGGAATTGAAAAAGAGATGCGTCTGTAGCATTAATTAAAAATTGCGTGGCTTAGATTGGGTGCTACAATAAATAAGCTCGCGGCTAATTCATTTTCCCACGGAGCCGCTCCGAGGAGTAAAAATTAAATCGCGATACTTGAAGACCATCATTCAAGAGTCCAGCCGGTTGCGCTAAAAGTGTGATTTGTGAGAATTAATGCGTACAATAAATAAACAAAATGCGCAATAGCATTTCCATTTGACGCGATATATTGTGCTCTCGAGTTACATTTTCATACTAACCAATCTTTGTGCCATGTGCCCAAGACAGACACTTAATTAATTTTGACTGAGCGAACCGCACCCGTTTGCAGCGGTAATCGCCTCCTTGAGCTTTTGCCGCTCAAACCTCCCCGCCAACTGCCTCGCCACATTTTTCACCATCAGCCAAACTCATCCACCGAAGATTGACTTCCCTGCCACACAAATAAATCACCCACTGTTCAGTCGCCAAAAAGCTCCGCCGACTGCGAATTCAACAGCAGCGCGAGTAAATGACTCAGGATGGTTAATTAATTGGGGTTGAGGCACCTCTTTTTTCAGCTCATGCGAAAGAACCTCAACTTTGTTTTTAATTGCATCCGTGAGTTTGAACAATAAAACCTCCTGCTCAAATAGCCCACAGGGTTGTTTATTTTGCCCGCGTTTCGTGGCAAATCCGCTAAGTACACTCGAGAGGGGGGCGGAGGGGGCCAATGGGTTTCCAGACACTTCACACTCACATTTAATTGTTATTGGATGAATTGCTTCATGAATGAACTTGCAGAGATCCTTCTAATGTTTTATTAATATCAGCACGTTGAATTGTATGGATCAATTCCCACTCAAACTGGGAGATGTTAAAGATGTGTTACAGTAGTTTTAAACAGTCTATGGTACTCTGTGTCACACATGTAAGGCTTGAAATGGCGATTGTCTAAATAAAACTCTTCACTTGTGGTTTTTTCCATTCTGGTTCCTGTTTTAGCGAGAATACAAAAGCGTGCTTTTCCTTATTCACGTGTTAAAAGTTTAACATTTTCAATTTAGTAGGAATTAAGATAAGAAATTCAACAAGGGCAATAGTTTTTAAGTACTTTGAGAATCCTTATTATTTCCGTTTTGGGTGGGATATTCAACTCTTCAAACTCACATCTCATTCAAAGAAGAAAATCGGCGAGGAAATCAATTTGAAACAGCCTGAGAAAGTGAGCGCCCACGACGTGAAGTGTCCGTGTCGTGATGATGAGGCTCAAATATCAGCTACTTGTGCATAAAATGGAGTGTTGAGTAACCCCCTGGGTGATTGCTATTGTTGAAAGAATGAGCCTCGTTATTGGTCGGGACACAAAAGAAGAAGCGAGGGAGCGCAAGAACCCACATCAAAAACACACGCAGACACCAAGATAAACGAGAAGAGTGGTGCCCCGCTGCGGCGGCAGAGTGGACGCCGCATTATTGCCGGCACCCAATTAGTTGCGGCTATAAACAAATCTATGAATTAATTTAAGGTGAAGAATCGTGCGTTTTGGGGCTCTGCCGGCGCTCGTCATGCCTCATGGCGGGGCCTCTTTTTGCCTTTTACGAGTGTCGCCGAGTGTCGGTGATGGGCATATCGGTGTGAAGTGACAAGGAGGGAATGCATGTCATCTCGATGGGCTGCTTTGCATAATTCATTGGGGAGCGCCACGCAATTGGCAGAATGGCGCGAAGACCCCCCAGAGATTCCGCAAACTTCGCCACTCAACAGTGTTTCCTCTCGTTGCAGGATCATCCTAGTCTCAGGGGAACTCCTCTGGCGATGTTGGCGGCGCAGTGCAACAAGCTGTCCAGCAAATCTCCGCCCCCGCTCGCGGACGCTGCCGTCGGCAAGGGTTTCCACCCGTGGAAGAAGAGTCCCACCGGCGGCGCAGGCTCCGGGGCGCCTCACTCTCCCGGATCTGGTGTCTCGAGCGGCGTCTCCGCCACCAGCAATGTCTCATCAATGACACAACGAAGTCTCGCGTCGTCTGTGAACGCAATGGGAAACGTCACTCCCAGGTAATTCAGAACGTGCTAGAATTTGTAGCCTTTTCACTTTGCGATATGCTAATCAAATAACTTTGAGGATCCATATAAAAAGTAATTATTGCTCAAATAAATCATCCACACTCATCAATCATCTTCGTGGTGTGTGTCAGAAGCATTTTGTATCTCATTGTTCGGCGCATTTTGTCCGGAAAAAGTGGTGTTGTGTTGAAAATTTAAAAAAAATTGGTCGATTGATTTAAAAATCCACACTTTGAAAACCAATCAAGACGCGAGATTATGTCATTCTCCTCTTCTCTTTGCAAATCAACACCATTACACAGTTGATTATCAATTCAAATTAGTTATTCATAACTTTCAATATTCGATGATTTCAATATTCTCCGCGCAGAGTGATTTATATTGGCGTTTTTCATCAGCAAATTGAAAGAGAGGGAAATCTAATGAGAGACATAGAGGGATAATAAATTGAAATAAAAACGTCGATAATTTGACTATGATGGTGATTTTAACTCATTTTCGTCGCTTGAGAAATATATTGGGCTCCAATTTAATTACTTTATATGCGCGCGCGCTTTGTGGGAAAGGACGGAGCCGACGAGGCGCGCACGGCTTGATTGATTCTAACGCGAGGCTTCTTTTCATTTCAGCCGCTCGGTGTCGTCGTGCTCAGCAACGGTGACGCCATCATACGGGAGCGATCTGTACTTTCCCGGCGCCACGACGTCGCCCGCCGTGGCGGACAATTCGCACAGTCACATGCACCAGGGATTTCTGGGGAAGGTGGAGGGCGCCGCCCTGGGTTCTGTGTACTCGCGCCATCCGTACGACTGGCCCTTCAATGCTGTCTCAGCCGCGGCTACGGCGGCGGCGCACAAGCCGGACGGCGTGAACTCGGGCTGGTGGGACATGCACGGTGCAGCCGGAGGTTGGCTCGATATGGGAAGCGCGGCGGGAATGCACGCCACGATGGCAAACTATACCACGGGCTCCGATTACTCGTCTCTCACGCACTCGCTGTCCAACACGGCGCACTTGCTGGGCTCCGGACAGCACCTCCTGCAGGACACGTACAAGAGCATGCTGCCTGCCCAGGCGGTGGGTGGCTTCGGTCTGGCGGCCCACGCGGGCGCGTCACCGGCCGCCCCGGCGGCGCCACAGGCGCCGTCCCCGCGTTCGCAGAGGCGCTACTCTGGCCGCGCCACATGTGACTGCCCCAATTGCCAGGAGGCGGAACGCCTGGGGCCCGCCGGCGTGCACCTACGCAAGAAGAACATCCATAGCTGCCACATCCCCGGATGCGGCAAAGTGTACGGCAAGACGAGCCACCTGAAGGCGCATCTGCGCTGGCACACGGGAGAGAGGCCATTTGTATGCAATTGGTTGTTCTGTGGGAAACGATTCACTAGATCCGATGAATTACAGAGGCACCTCCGGACGCACACGGGTGAGAAGCGCTTCGCATGTCCCATCTGCAACAAGCGCTTCATGCGCAGCGATCACCTGGCAAAACACGTGAAGACCCACAACGGCGGCTCGGGCGGTGCCTCGACCAAGAAGGGCTCCTCGGAGTCCTGCTCCGATTCTGAGGAGAACAGCCAGGGCGACTTGCACCACCAGCAGCCGCCTCAGCTGGCGCCTCACCAAGCTCAACCGCCGCCGCCCCAGACATTTGGCCAGCAGCACCAAATCCACTCCCCGGCACCGGCCCTGCAGCAACACACGCCCAGCCCCGGCCTAGAGCATGGCTCTCTGGCGCCGCCGCTGGACGTGAAGCCGGGCCTCGTCTGAGACGAGGCGGCGCACCCGGCGCTGCTGGCGACGCACCAATTGGTGCAGTGGCCGCCGCCAGGGGCTCCGGGTGCCGCCGCCACCTCTCTCCTCTGGCCCCAGTGAGAACCCCCCCGGGTTGGGTCCGGCAGGCATGCACGATATATCGCTAGAGCCACGCCACGATACTGATAATCCTTCGTGAAATATCCTCAAGCGCCCATTCGGCTCACATCTCTGCAATCTTTCAACTCAATCCACTTCGCTTGGGTATTTTTCGGAATTTCCTTCAATTTATTGGGTATATATTTTTTGTGATATTTTGCGAGTTCCTATTGGAGTTCTCAGTTGGTGTCAACTGCGCGTTGAAGAGGAAAAGCTTAAGCTTGAAATTTGTCTTGAGTGTTTTGGCCTGAGAACTCTGGTTTGTATGTCAAAATTTCGGTGTTGCACGCGATGAGCCTTGAGAATATTTCCCCCGAAAGTGACTAGAAGAAATTTTTAAATACTTCATGGTACAAATTGTTTAAACATGGCTTATCTCACTGATAGAGCAGAGACGCAAGTCTCTAAAATTACTGTAAAAGTCCCTCTTATAACACACTAAATCTACTCACTTTAAAAATGTAATTGGAGCTTGCGTGCTGTTGTCGTTTCCTTGTAATCTCTATCCCTTCTTCCGGGTGAACTGAGAAATCTCCGGGAGGACAGTGATAGGCACAGGAGACAGGATAAAAGGTGTATTTAGAGTAAAATTCATAAAATATGGGGATATTTTGTATATAATTGTTACTTGACGTATGGAAATTGATAAAATGTCTTTAGCGATAACATAATCTTCAAAACATGAAAAGGAATTTTCATTGCAATGCGTTTCTTCAGTTTGAGCATCGCTCTCAATTTGTGTGGGAGGGGAAGTTGATGTAACTTAATTGGAAGAGGCGATGCAAAGGCAAATTAGACATGTTTCAATAGAAATGCCACAGAAGGTTTTTATTTTGAAATCATATTCCTATTCTTAGCTTTTCTGATTTTTTTTTTCTATACAAATGTAGAGCAATTGATATCACAGAGGAAACTGCAAGTAAAACCGAATGTGAGAACGAATTAAGCGAGGTTCAATGTGAATCTTTAGACACAGAGATGTAATGTCATAGAATCTATTGTAAATAATTTATTACAATTTAAATTATATTTATATCCCCCACTTTTAAAAAGCGATCAAAGTGAAATATCATTTGAGAATGTAAGGAATACTTGTTATATAAATATCAAATTGACAATGTACTTAAGAGGCAGAATTCTAGAAGTGTAAAACAGTGTAAAATTTGGAAATTCATCGATATGGAGGAGAAACAAAAACCTACTATTATCAATTAAAAATTATTATTGTGTGTAAAAAAAAAAGAAAAGATGAACAGAAGATCTATTGAGAAATAAAATCTAGACCAAAGTTCTGAAATTTTTCTCTGTCTTTTCGCTGTGAGGCGTGTTTTGAGAGGTGTTGCATCATTTAAGAGCAGGTGCTGCAGCAGTGGAGACGCCAGGTGAGTGCGAATGAGCGTGCGAAAAGGAAACTTCGAAGTGTCCGAGAAGCTCACGAAAACGTTATAAATTGGTCATTTTGCCGTAAAGTCGACTTCCCCGAAGATGTCATGAAATGGCTGAAGAGCCAAAGGGAACCACCCTCTCGAGAGCAAACAATCCAACCCTCCAGGAAGATGATTTTCTGATTAATTACAGCGTGGAAGTTAAATTTTATTGCATACCACGCACAAGAGACAATTTAGAGCCATAAAATTGGATGAGAAATGATCATAAAATCCATTCACCCTCGAGATTTTCCCATCACCACACTTCGCAGAGACCCTTTTTTGCCTTTCCCGCTAAAAGCATTCCTCCCATCCTTTCGCGAGGCTGCCAACAATGCCGAAAGGAGACAGAGAAAAAACATATTTGACATAACAAAATAGAAAATTAAATGAGAATCACCCACAATGTGAGCAATTGAAGAGTTTTGTGGTGTGAGCATTCAGTTTATTTAGATGCGCACAAATTGTCAATTTTGAGATCATTTGCATGAATCCAGTCTCTCTCCCTCCAGAATAAGGGTGGAAAATTTGTATTCCCTCTGTTATCGTGCTCGAGGGTGGATTTCTGTGTGTCGTGGAGGGTGAATTTTGCGGTTTTTCGCATAGTAAAATGTTAACGAGGTCGAACATCAGCGACATTTGAAGAAAAGATGGAAAATGTGTGCGAATTTCTTCCTAGAACTTGACTTTTCAATTCATTTTTGAGGAAATTTCACATGTTTCTTCTATGTTTCACCCATTGTTTCATGACTCTTTTTCAATTTTAACCCTTTCTTTAATGAATCCCTCTTTCTTGGTGTGCTATATAAAGGAAATCAACAATTTCTTGCAGGTTTTCAAGAGTGAATTTTTGTATTTTTTTTTTAATGAGGCTTTGACGTATTTATTGTACAGATTATCAAAATCATTTCTCACCTCATAAAAAGTCGACAAGAAGGAACTAATTCAGCTGAAATATAGCGTCTTGTGCTAGTATTGGGTTAATATTTCAAATTACAACCATGAAAAATTACTTCAACTCTTCCCTTTGACACCCTCCCTAAAATTAATCATAATTAAAAAAAGAGTGAGAGAAAATTCCTCTCACAGTTAATTACTTTCCTCCGAACCACGATTTCTTAGGCCTAAACTATCAACACAGGAAAAATCAATAAATTGAACTGGATATTTTCTTCCTTTTCCCTATTTTTATTGTTACTCAATTGACTTGAGCTGAAGTTGTGAATTATTAACATTTGACTTCTTACTTGGTGGAGGCAATAAACTTACGATATTAAACACGGGAAGTTGATGGGAAAAGTGTGTGCGAGAGGAAATATAAAGTCAACCATATATTTTCCTGTGTTCATTTTTTCATGCCTAAATAAATAATAAATATTACCACGCGCGCATTTACAGTGTTTTCAAGGATGGTTTTCATGCAGAGTTTCGCTTGTTCGAAGGAAAAATACCAGCAATTCCAACCCTCAGTGTTGAGGGTATAAAAAAACCGAATCATTTGATTAAATTTCTCTGCCATTGAGAGCATTCTCGTGGATGGGAGGGCAATCTCAGCCACAAATGTCACCCCCAAGAGTGAGAAGCTCAGTGGGAAATTCGCACTGTGAAAAGGCACCCGCGGAACTCGTCACGGGTGGTGTTGGGATGGGTGGAAAAACAATCGGGTCGCAGGACCAACCCTTCAATTGAGCTCTCAATCGATTCACATGCAAAATCTTGAGACAAGACCACCTCGGAGGTGTTATAGTGAGGAATAAACGGCGAGAACAAAGAGCTGAAGGGGTTCTCTCGAGCGCTATTCTATAATTCAATTTTCTGTCAATATTTCCAGCAAAACATTCACTGGCGTATTACTAATTCGATGTTTTATTGTTGTGCGTCTTTTTGACTTGAATTAATTCCTTTTGTAAAGTGAGAAATACTTCCACGAGCGCGCTCTTTTCTTTTACGACTCAAAGCCACTCACAAAATGCCACCATCGAGAGAGTGAATTAATTGATAAGGCGTGTTCTCTTCTCGGTACACACATTGTTTTGTCAAATTGAATGTGATTATTGAATAAATTTTCTCTGTGGACCATGTCAAAAGGCAGAAATTCAATATATCGACGCGTTGTCGTGCTGCGATGTTCGTTGGCAAATTCCATTTCTTGAAATTGGAAATTCAAATCGTTCGTCAATCAAAGGGGAAAACTCATAAATGCAAATGCCAACCATCATCAAAGTGACTCACTTGCCGGAACGACTTCAAATATGCAAGAGAAGCTGCCGAATTTTCAATGAGTTGCCCCATTAGGGAGGATTTTACAACGTGAGGAGACTTTGTGGGATGGAGAAGGACTCGCAGCGTCAGCCAATAAGAGGTGGCTGAATACAGAAGTGTTTGTTTAACAGGAGTTTTAACAGAAAATACTCACTTGAATACAGAAGACCACGAATTCCTGCGTTGTGAAGCAAAATAGTGAATCTCTTAATTTAAGAGATTGACTGCAAAATAGTCTGTAATTTTCAAAATACGCCAGAAAAGAATACCATGTCAGCAATTTGGCAGCCACAATGCCACAATTCAGCGACGAGAGCCCGAAATAATGTCACACGACATTAAACGAGTAAATTATTTTGATGGAAAAAACCGCTGTTCAGCCAAAATGTGGCGGTGCAAAATGTAAAATTTTCACAGAGTAACCTCAAAGTCCCTAATCAAAATTCTCTGCACAAATTTTCGGGTGGGAAATGTGCTGCAAATAATTTCCACATTGGGGACTTTTCACCCGGTGATAAATCTCAATTGAGAGACAATCAACCCTCAATTGTTGCCATTGCATTAAATTCAGTTAGCAAAATTGTTGTTAAATCGAAACGTAAATCCCATTATGAGTCACATGGTAGGACGCTCACCCTCGCCTTGTTTCCGTGGCAGGGATTTATGGACGGCATCTTCAATTCCACAATATCAATTTCCACCCTCTCGCTCAGGAGGACTCAGATGAAACCCAACGGCTCACATTATTTGATCAACACCATCGCGCTTATCTCTTTGCCTGCATCTCAAATGCTCTCCGCAGAGGGAATCTTTGTTCTGTCGGCAAATTGAGGGCACATGAATAAAGGGCATTTAATTACTTCCATCGATCGCTCGCCGGGATGTTCAATTTCCCTGACTGAGATTTGAGATGCCCGAGCTGGGATGTATGTGATTACTGGGCCACCGGATTCACCCATTCATTGTCATCTGACGATGACACTGAAGATGACACTGTGTAATTTTGCATTAATTTATCAATGTCTGTTGCATGTCACCCCACTTTAAAGGGTATTTATCTTCTTACAATGTACAACTGGGAGTAAGTAATTATAAGAATATTACCAGCAATCATCGACATATGCGACATTCTTCTTCTGACCACAAGATGTTTAACAGATGCCTTCGATATTCTCATTATTTGAATTCCACGCTCTGTCACTACACCTTCCACTTCGTTCAGGCTTCCTTCGCCTGCGTGTCTTCCTTAGAAGACTACATTTCAGAAACATATGCAGAGAAAGGAACGACAGAAACTCCTGTAAATTGTAAAAACTCTGAATGTTTGTCGAGGTAAAGTATTCAAAATGAAATCTTAATTCAGTATATCTAAGTGTGTTATCACACTTATACGTATTTTGCCTTGAAGTTATCGACATTTACCGACAATTATTATCGATACAAATTGCGTGCAATTTTTTTAAATGCAATTTTAAGGGAAAAATAGTTAAAAGCGACAGTCTGAAGATTACTTTGTGTCGTATTAGTAAAAAGAGCAAGTGGGATAACTGTCTAAGATTTTGTGGTGAGAATTTAACACAATCAACACACATAAATTCCCCAAAATGGCTTCATCAGTGACTTTCATTCATCTGGAAGTTAGAAAAGTTGTGGGAAAACAGCAAAGAAATTCCCAGTCTGGGCAATGCGAAAATCTCCCTTGAGAATTGCTGAGTGGGAAAAAGACTTCCAGGCACACAGCATATTTATGTAACAAACAATTTAATAAGCGACTCATTGAGGTTAGGAATGGCTATGAAATAAACTACTGACCCGCGTCCAGTGAGTCCCAGAGTGTCTCATTTAATATTTTCTGGTATTATTAACAATGTATCATTGTCAAGTCGTATGTCTTGCAACCGAATCCCAAAACATCTATACGTTGTAATTTAGGCAAATTACCGGAAAAATCGACAAAACATGTACCTATTGGTATAATTAAGTTTTTCTAAATACCCACATTTAGAGGCAGTCAAGTAGGAAAGTCACAATGGAAACTGCCATTTAACTTTTTACTTCTCTTTACTCTATTGTTATTATATTATCGTGCACCAACGACATGACATTCGAGGGAATTTTTCCATGGATTGCGATGCCCATTTGTGGGGTGAAATTGCATACGATCAGAGAAAATTTCTTAACGGTGGTGATTTTTATGCTCCTTACGGTCGGATTGTTTATTGTGCGCCACAATGAAAACCTCACACTGTGTGAGAACTCTCGACTTCTGATCCCTTTTGTCCTGCGCCCTTCAATGGAGAAGCCGTGGGAGGCTCATGAGCCGGTATCGCGTTTCAATCCTGGCTAATTTTATCCTCCTGAGAACCAACCGCAGGCAACCTGTCGAGATGAATTTGCGAGCAGAGCAATTTGAGCCATTTTCTTCGCCAAGATCTGCGAATTCCGCCCTCTGGGTGATCATCTCGCGATGCCATCTTCTGCGGTGCGATAATTGTCTCTCTGGGCAGCTGCAAGAAGTTACGCGGCCATTGCTGCATCGCTGAATTGTCGGCGGAAAAGAAGTTGAGCAAGAGAGGAGGGAAAAAAAAGAGT